TTTTCCCCCATTTAATCCTTGAAAAAGCTGAATAAAGCTGTTTACAGCCTGCAAAACAGATCACCTGCGGAAAAAAACAAAAAAAATGAATCAAAAAATGACAAATTTGAAAAAATCCGTAAAGAACACTGTGCAACCCGTGTTCTTCATGGACTCACCGATTCCGCACAGTGAATCGGCGAGTCACTGTGCGGAATCGTCCGGTTCTCTCTAGAACCGGATGATTCCCGATTTTTGAACCGATCCAGTACCTTTTTCGTGAATTCCGAGTCGAACCGGGCGAGTCCGGTTCGACTCGACGATTTTTAAAACGCTGGTCTAATCGTAACAAATATCGAGCAATCTCCACCATCCAATGCATGTGACGACAGAGCATCCCATAAATGTGTTTCTGTAGGAAATGACTTTGACACGAGCACATCCCATAATGTGCTCGAAGTAAGAAAAGAGATTAGTATTTGTTATTCTACTTAAAACGATAAAACCAAAAAACTCTGCCGTACAATGTGCACATCTAAACTTTAAAACCCTAATTTTACAACTCGAAGAGTCTTCCAAAAAGTAGATTAATATTTTTCAATTAGCTATTTGATATATATATATATATATACACACAAATAACACTTATTAATATTTTTCAAGTAGCTATTTGGCATATATACTGTATATTATATAATAGCAATTGATTATTTGACATTTTTTTATGATTTTTAACTATTTTCACTTACCTCATACTAAATTATGTGTTTTTTTAGCTAATTGCGTTGAATAAAGTAAAATAATAATTATTTTTTTAAAATAAACTTATGTATAACACTGCCTATAATTTTAGGGTGGTCACAATTACTTATAATCATATGATGTGAAATCTAATAACTTGGGTATGTCACAAAGTACGGAGAAAATTCCTTTTAACTTTGAACTCCATCAGTTTAATAAATGCAACCTCCCAATTTCACATTTAATGATTAAGATTAATTGTGACCACCTTGTATCAAAAGTAAGATATCTCGTTGTATGTTTTTCTTGAAGATTGTATGCAAGGAGACTATTTTTATGTGATACAATGCTGTCACAATTACTTACAACCATCTGATGCGAAAATTTGATAGCTTTGGTGTGTCACGAAGTTCAAAAAAATTTATTTTCAAATTTGAGTTTGATAAATCCAATAAAGAAAGACATCTAATTTCACATATAATTGTCACGATTAATTATCACCGTTCGTGTACTTTATAAAAAAAACGTACCCTCTAAAAAAGAAAAAGTTTATATAAGGTATCAACCTTATACTATACAAGTAAGGTGCACTTAAAAATCCCACTAGAGAAGGTTATTCTTATAGCGGAAAACCTCGAATCGATTATCTCGAGGTTGAGATTCACATACCAAAAAAAAAAAAAGGTTTTCTAGTCCTAAAAATAGTTTATCTTCTAAAGCATTATTTGGACCGTACATTTTTTTAGATTTTCAATATATACGGTTGATCATCTCCATTTTTAGCACTTTAAACTTTATAATTTAGGACAAGAATAGATTTTGATATTAGGGCAAGACTTTGCGTGATTGTCAGCATCAAAGCGGACGGACGTGTTGGTCCTTCACCCTATTTTTATTGATAGAGGGTATTTCGTGTCACGTCAAGCAGCTTGAGTAAAGCTCATACATGTGCCCTAATTTGAATGGCGCAACAACGTTAGGGGTTTAGGGTTTCTCGTGGCGGACGATACAGATCATCCCCCTGTAATCGAACGGTCACCAGTCCTCTACGACGGCCTTTTCCAAACGAAAAACACGTCAAGGAGATGGCACGTGCGGCGTATTCATTCTTGCATCTCGAACCATTCCCTTTTAAAGACGCGCTTCCATCGCAGCTAACTCCTCTCTCTTCTCTCTTCTCTTTCTCTCTCTAAAAGCACGGAGAGAAAAGCTCGATCGTTGCTCAAAGAAATACTAAACCATCTCCAAACATGGTATTTATCATAATCTATGCTTCTCTCTCTGGGCTTCTTGTCCATTTATTTTTTTTCAGTCTTTCATGCTTTCTCTCACTTACTTTCATGGCATAAATGGTTATCTTTGCGTATATCTATGTGCTTTGCACCGTGTATGTGATGTACTGTTTTCGAGCTTTTGGGTTTCCATAGTATGAATGAATAAAATTTATGGGTGAATATATTCATAAGTATGCACTCGAGCTCTTTAAATGTCGGGTGGCATGGGGTTTATATAGAAGATGGAAGATGAAGTGGATTTATGTATGGATATGTAAGCTACATTACATGAATTTCATGATTGGTTTTTTTTTTTTTTTGAGTCTTTATCGGTGGCGAGAGGCTTGTTGTTTTACGTACATGGATGTGTCTATGTTATCATGTTTATGTAACTGCGAATGCAGTGGATGTGATGTTGGGGAATTTGGGTATTGTTAGATTTAAGCACTATTTACATGTATTTATTTGTTCATGTGTTTGTGGTGGCTGTTGATGTTGAGAACACATTTTTCTATGCATAGGTGTATTTCATACATGTTTTCATGTATATATATATATATATATTGATTTTATTTGTTTTTTTAGAATTTCATAATGACTAGCATGTTCTCCTAAAAAATAGTGACTAGCATGTTTGTATTTGATTGGTAATTTGATATTTTCCTTTTCTTTTTTTTTGGTGATTTTTTTATGTGATTGCCGTGGAATTTGAAAATATAATCTTGGGTCTGAGACTAAGAGTTCCAAATCATTGGACTAGAGAAGTACCCCCTGTGTTGGCGTATTTAGGTTTTTAGTGTCTGTAGGCATGTGATTTGTGTGCTGGATATTTTTGGGTTTTTAAGAGTGTTGGAGTATTTAGCTCCAATCATATTTTTATGCATGTGATTGCTATCGATGCTGGATATTTTTGGGTTTTTAAGAGTGCAGTTAGATTTCTTCTTGCAAGTGTGTTTTTTTTATAAAGAGAAGTGTATAATAGGATTGTTTGCCTTTGGTAGAGAGAGGTATAATCATCCGTAACCATCAGACGTGAAATTGGGTGGTTGGAGATGTATCATTGGCGGAGTTCGAAGTCTGAGAAATTTTCCTCGGACTGTGCAGAGAACTGAAACATTCCATCCGTTTGATTTTACATCTGATGGTTGGAGTATTTGTGGCCTTAGTGTGCAAAATGTGACGGTCTCGCTTTATCACATCCATGTGCATGGTTTGTATTGGAATATCTCTGGTTCTTATTATATGTACATATATGGGTACACATGCAATGTATCTCAACCTCGGCCATTGGTATCGGTGACTTTTGTGTCTATGTGGTATGAATGGCTGTAAGTATCCCTATAGTTTTAGGAATGGGACCTTGGCCTGGGTGGTCAGGGTCGTGGAGCCTCAGCGTGTCATCAACCGTTCCTACCTCTTTAACATGTCAAAAAAGAAAACTATCTATAAAGTTGTTGATTTTAAAAAAAACTTGGTTAGTGGTATCTGATAGGTATGCACCAAGGCAACTCATCCAAGGTTTTCAAGCTTGGTGAAAAATTTGCAAGTTTCTCAATTTTGAAAAAGAAAAATTTCATAAGAATTGTAGGATTCAAACTCAAGAGTCAAGAGCAAGTGTAAATAGATTTGAATCACGTAGCCACATACTACCATAAAATGAAAAAACTGTGATATGGCTTGGACATGTTTCCATGTGTAAAACTATAAATAACATACTTATATTGTTATTGTGTATATGTTTACATGTCCTTCTGTGATGGTCATTGATCCTGGAACTTTATGGTTTACTAGGGTTCAGACACAGTTAATCCCAAGGCATACCCATTGGCTGATGCATCACTCACCATTACAATTTTGGATACAGTTCAGCAAGCTGCAAACTATAAACAACTCAAGAAGGGAGCCAATGAAGGTATTTTTCATTGTAAAGTTGTAATCAGTTAAGCTAAGCAATTTTTTTTTCTTTTTTCTTTTGGGTAATTTTTGTGTAAGCATATTTATTCGGGTTATGGATTTCTTGATGCTAGAGATACTAGAGATATGTTTTCCAAGATTTGTACATAGTTTGCCAGAGTTAGATGTTGTGTTTTATACATATTCTTGTTGATTTAAAGACTAGATCAATGATCCGCAGAGATGGTATCTTTGATGTCATCATCATCGGAGCCTTTTCCCAACTATTTGGGGTCGGCTAGATGGTATTATTTCACGACGTCATCATCATCAGAGCCTTTTCCCAACTATTTGGGGTAGGTTAGATGGTATTCTTTGACATGCATATTTTAAACCTTATGTGGAATTAAGTTGTTCGTCAAATTTATGCATCTCCAGTTTTGAGCTTGTAGGTGAATAAGTTTACTGCTACTTTGATTCCCCCCCGCCTCTTCTCCTAGTTCGATATCTCACTTGGTACTTGTTAGAGAAATGGTTAATGATATAGATGCACAAAATTATCAGTAAATGTGAGCGAAGTTGCATGACAAAATATATTCCCATTTTAGTAGTTGTAGGGAAGACACTAAGCATGATCTATGCACTTTGTAGTAAATGCTTGGAGCTATGGGTCAACAGAAATATATGAATTTTTTGGTTTATTTATTTTATATTATGAGAGTCGTTCTTATAGTATATACAATGTTAGTGAGTTCAAAAACTGATCCTTCTTAATCCATCAAAGATAATTTTTTAAAAAAATGACAAAAGAAACAAAACCCTATTTTCATGCCTTGGTATATTTAGGTATTATTCTGTTTTTTACTTCGGTCCTTTGGTTGTGGTAAAATGATTAGCTTAGTACTAGGTGGAGTGCTAAACACTAAAAGACTACAAAGACAGTTTTCCCTCCTAAAGGAGTTCTCAAGTCCATATAGCAAGGGGTAAATAGGTTTTAATTTGTCTGAGTGCCAATGCATGAGCATATAACCTATTTTAGTTATTTTTGCAATTGTGCAATGACACATCCTAAGGAGACTGTTGTTATGCATTCTTTGGAATGTTCTTGAGAATCAAACTTTAATGCAAAACCATGAATATAGTTCTGAAACTTCAAAGTTGAAACTAACCTTGGCCATATTGTTATATTATTGTATTAATGCTGGAGATCTATTTCAGAGAAAAAAGAATCCGGAAATTGTTGTATTTCTATATATGTCTATTTTTTTGTATAGGCACAATATCAAGACGAGGATGCTCAGTAATTACTTTCTGAAGCGAGATTAATTGATTCATTATAGACTGAGGGAGCTACGAAGCTATTAGTTTCAATGAAAATCAGCCTAATATTAATTAACAAATTATTTCTCTTCATGGTAGAGAGTTGTCATATTCCAAACAGCAAAAGACTTTGTTGTAATTAATTTTTGTTTTAACTATTACTGCAATTAGCTTCTGAGCTAAAATATGCATCATCTAAAATCTCTGATGTTAGAAGTATTGATATCATTACATTGTAATAATAAGTACTAAACACGTTCCGTTTTATTTCTGAAACTACAGTAGATTGTCTTACTGATGTTGCTTCTCTTTGTTTTAATCTGCACTCAGTATAAGATTGTTGTTTTGCAGTTTTGCTTCTTTCTTTTGGTGGGTGAATTAGTTTTGCTTCTTTTCATTTTAAATTGCTCTCATTTTGTGAGTTTCTTTTCTTTGTTCTTTTATCTTGCATAATCTCTGGAAAATGATTAATTATGTGCTAACTTTCCTACCACATTGAACCAAATACGTGAGGGGGAGAGCTTCAGGCTGTAAACAACCTAGGAGGTTGTATTGGTTTTTCGGTTGCCCCTAAAAGATCTTGTGTGATGTGCAGCTACAAAGACTTTGAACAGAGGGATTTCAGAGTTCATTGTTATGGCTGCAGATGCTGAGCCACTGGAAATCCTTCTGCACCTACCGTTGCTAGCTGAAGATAAGGTACTTCCTATGCCTTTCTCTGCCTCAAATTGTTTAGTACTTCATTAAAGTTGTTATTTTCATTGCCCGTATGCTTTTATTGCCATCATCTAGATTGAAGATATCCCTTCAGTTATTTGAAAATCTCATATCGTCTATTTAGATGCCTTTGACGTTGTCGTTCACTTATTTTTAACTTCCATTATAGAATTCAATGGACCTCTTGACGTTGTCGTTCACTTATTTTTTAACTTCCATTATAGAATTCAATGGACCTCCCTAAATCGACCCTTAATGGACACTAGGGTGATTAATTGCCAACAGTATGCTCCCAATGCCATAAAAAATGAACAAAAGTTTATGGAAATACTTATATAAATAAAAATATTCCATTTCCTTTTTGTTTTATTTTTTCCCGTGAAGTTTGCCTTCCCAGCATGCTGAATTCCTGGTTTTTTTACTGATAGACTCAATACTTCCCTCAACACCATCCTTTGCATGCCCTAGTGCAGAACAGCTTCTGGTGACCAAAAAAACAAGGGTTCCTTTTTTTTTAATTTTTATTTTTATTTTTTGATATTTATAAATGTATAGTTTCATCTGTGCGTACTAACCCCTCGGTTCATCAATCACAAATTCATGCTCTGCGTTGAAGAACTGAACTTCCATGTCATTCATACATCTGTTGGTATCTGGCTGTCGATAACAGGGACCGAACTGGATAAACCTTGGTCCTTAGGTTTATCTGTGCTAATGCTTTTTACTTAAGTACCATCATTCCTGTCCTTTGAATGCCTACATGTGTGGATTATTTTCCTCACCTTATCACTCTTACAAATGTGACAAGCAACAGATATATGTATTGCGAAGAGAGAGAGAGGGAAGGCAGGAGGGATAAAATTTTAAAATATCTGATAGATTCCATGTTTGAATGTCTAATGTGAATGCTTGTTTGCAGAATGTGCCCTATGTATTTGTTCTATCGAAAGAAGCTCTTGGAAGGGCATGTGGTGTCACCAGACCTGTCATTGCCTGTTCCGTGACTAGCAATGAAGGCAGCCAATTGAAACCCCAAATACAGCAGCTCAGAGTAATTTTTCATTTGCCCGTATCCCCGTCCAGAACTTGTTTGTTTTATTTATCAATTTGATTCTCTTAAATTTTAATCCAAAGCATATGGTAATTTAATTTAAAATTCGGTTGAGTTAATTTTATATTTTTAAGCCATCAAGATGGATTCTGATTGTACTCATGGTTTGCAGGATCAAATTGAGAAAATCATGATATAAGCACATGAGATTGAAGCAACGAGTTTTGTGGTATGAGAAAGCACGAGAAGTAATGTAGTCCAAAGACTCAAATTATTTGTTATATCTATAGGGATAAAAGTCAGGTGCTTATTGAAGGCCTGGAATTTTGGTACCTAAATTTGTGATCTTAAGAGATTTAAGGAATTTTGGTACCTAAATTTGTGATCCTAAGAGATTTGGGGGATCTTTGCTTATTTCTTTAGTAGGTATTAGATAGTTTTTTGTGTTTGTACAATATGTGGTCTAGAGTTATAAAGCATCCATTTTAAAGATGGATGCAAATAAATAGGTGGTCCATTTAAAAACAGTCCAGATGTTTTTTTAATATAATTATTATTTTTAGTTTGCAAAATTTTATTTTTATTTTTTTTTATATTCATGATCTCCATATTAAAGATTATAAATTCTAGGATCAAATTATATCTAGAAAATATATTTATTGCCTAGCCCGCATTTGTACATGTGCGGGCTTGGCCTCATGCTAATCCTTATATTAATGGGATGAATGGATTCTGAGAATTCAAAAGCCTTAGGATGATGCCACATACTTAAGTTTAACCGTCCTAAGAACTCAATCACCTCCATAATTGACAATTTAAGGTTGTTATTCTTTTGGCCGAGGATCCAACCTTACTAGTAAGATATAACGCTATGATAATTCAAATATTTTGGGCCCCTCATTTCTTCTATCTAACAATTAGGCAGTCTCACATTCTTCTCTCTGAAAATTCAAAATCTAAACCCCAAAAATCACCTAGAATTTTTGGCTCCTAAAATGTTCACGAATCATGGCTTCAAAATATTGGTTGAAGCAAATAGCAAATCAAAATTAATGTAACCAACTTCAATTAGTCCGAAAAGAATAAAAAAACTGTGATGATGATGATGAAACAAAGAAAACATAATTAGATCGACAGTGGAACCAAGTTTTAGGGACATCTCTAATTTCCCAAATTTACACCTTCGAATTTGCCCAAGGCACTAGATGGATCAATGATCCCTAGTTCGACTTTGTCAATTGTAAACTCAGCTGCCAAACAGAGTCGGAGTCTTAGTGCACAACGGAAATGGATACTTCCACTTGAATTCTAACAAATCCCCTCCATCTTTGCCTACAAACTATGCCCTAATGCATGTTCAAAAACACTATTCAAGCCTTCAAATTCTGCACTTGATCTACCTTTCACACTTAGAAAATCTGCTGATAGAAACCAGAATAATCAATTAGCCTTCTAATTTTGTACTCGCTCACACTTTCTGCTGATCTTTTGACTCACAGGAGACTGATTAAGATGTGGCCCTATTAAGACGTACCCCGATTCACCAGCTCTACAGCGTCGTCGTGCAACAAATAGATAAAGCAATGTATTGTCAAATATATTTTATCACTCGATTCGAATATTTATTTTTAAGAGGAAGATTTTGCCCATTTAACTTTCCGATCCACCGAATTCAATTTTCCGACACGCCTTGGCTCCAGCATTCTCAACCACAGCAATATGCTCCTCACTCTTTCTGCTCGAACAATGAAACTACACGGCATAAAGCCCTTTGTCACATTTTTGTACCTCGACGGCCATCTAATAGAGGCAGATTTCGCATGGTCAATGTAAAAAGCTGTGGCCATTCACATGGTCGAAGCTGAATCATAAATAGCACCATAGCTTTCTTACTCTAAAAGAAAGATGAAAATTCTAGAAATAAAATATTCTCACAGTGACTCCCCTTCCTGATATCAAGCTACAAAATAGTGAAAAGGAAATCAACAAAATTGCCTTCTTCCAAGCTGCACTACCAGCTAGAGTGAGAAAATACATGCAAGAAAAAAATACACAAATTTGGTCAATGCTTTTAACTAGCCAAGTTATTTTCGTCCATGACTTCTTCGCACTGATGGGGAGCTCTTTGAAGAACCTGCTGGTCTTCTGCTTGGGTCATCAATATTCGTTTTCTCTTCTTTTTGCTCAGAGGCTGCCCTCTGTCTTCTGTCCATGTCTTCGGCATATCTCTGCCAAAGTGACTCCCTCTCTCTCCTTGGCATCTTCTCATACCTTGGGTCAGGTCTTAGAAGCTTTTTTGCAGTTGACCATGAATTGAGCAATGTTTTTCCATCTTCCGATGCTTGGGCAGCAGCCTCTGGAGTAATTACCTCAGCCAATAGGGAACGGAACTCACGAGCACATCGCTGAAAGAAACAAACTTTTCTTGTGAGAACAGTGCATTGAAAAGGCAATGGGATTCAGAAATAATGAACAGATTACAAATATAGCAAACAGTATGTTATATATCAGAAACTTCATTTAAGTACGAAGGGATTGGAAATTTTGAGACAAAAAGGAAAGTAAAATGGGATGACATCAATCAGTCTCCAAAGACAAGTTATCCCACATAAGATGCTGGACCTATTCAACTCTCTCCCTCTCTCTCTCTCTAAAAAAAAAGACAGTATTACTAATAAAAAACAGTATCAAGGGAAATATTAAGAAAACAAGATGTCAACGAAATGAAAGCAAAGTGCATTTACAAGAAGTTTGCTAAAAGAAGTTATCTGATGCAAATCATGCTGAACCTATTCAAATATCCCTCTCCCTCTCACTCTCACTCTCACTCTCACTCTCACTCTCACTCTCACTCGCACGCTCACACACACAAACATATTGACAATGTTTTTGCTTGAACTCCATAATGAAAGAAAGAGAAAATAAATTCCAAATTTGGGAAAAATTGCAGCACAAACTCAACAAACATCATGAACACGTTAATCTGAAATAAATGATCACAATGTACTTCTACATATAGATATTTTTTAACAGATCCTGTTGAAAGTTTAACTAATTTGTAAGCAGAACAGTAAATTTTACCAACCTCATTTAGAACTTTTACATGCTCTCGAAATAGCTTTTCCATGTCAGCTGGCTCTAGTTCCGGATTTGTGGCACGCCCAAGCGGATCCTTCTCCAATTTAGGCTTGGATTCAGTCCATGATGCCTGTATGAGCAGAGATGCAAATATGGTATACTACATAACTTCAAGTACACAAATCATCTAAAGTGAATGTAAGCCTCTATCTGCACATTGTGTGTGAATATGTATGTGTGCACATGTGCATGTCAATAATAAATCACAAAATAACTATAAAAAACCGCAAGAGGAATATATGTTCAACCACAAAGCAATAATTGTTGGAAATAATCAGGAAGTAAACAAACAGGCATTCACAACTTCTATTGAAAATTTCACCTTCCATTTTGGTATTGCAAATAGTATCTGTACACACCTTGGGATCTTTTATTCTTTCTGTAAGTAGTGCTTGATATGAGACCACCGCATCCTTTCTACGAGCTTTCTGTCTAACCCTCTCCACTTCTTGCTCTTCCCTTTCTTTCCGTTTACGCAATTCTCGTTCCCTTTCCTTAAGTTTCTCCTGAAAAAAAAAAAGGTCATCCTAGGGATGGTTTCATAAAATATTAACATGGTTGCCTTGTTAGCCAGTAAAATTTGATGTCCTCTTCTTGAGAGAGAGGGGTTTGTTGTCAGCCCAAATAAAACACCCAAAGTCAAAATCTCCCACAAACATCACCCACTTTGAAAAACTTCATAGTGCTACACATGCAGGCAGATGCTACTTACTGTGATCAGGGATATTTGAGATTCAATAGTTTGTTTTGAGATATTTTGTAACCAGGCTGAAAAGTGGAGTACCAGCTATGGTTCATCAACAAAAGTGGAGTACCAGCTTTTAGATAATCTAAAATCTTAAACCCCCCCCCCCCCTCCCCCTTCTCTCGCTCTATGGCTACGTCTGATGGTTCTGTTTGCCCTTCCCTTCCCCCTCGTCATCATAATTTTAACCCTTTCCCCAATAATTGGGGTCGACTACATGAATCCTTGTTCTCCATTCTGCTCTATTAAAGGCCATATCCTCAATGAGGCCATAAGTCCCCATATCTTTTCGGACTACTTCCAACCACGTCATTTTGGGCCTACCCCTTGCCCTTTTCAGTTCTTCCCTTCCCCTTGCCCTTTTCAGCCCTTCCCTTCTCCCTCTTTACCAGAATTATGTGCATTGTTCAAACCCCCAAAACTCTGTTCCTTTGGCCTCTAAACCAGCCAAATCACCCCACCAAACCCTCACGTCCCCCCCACGCCACCCCCCCCCCACCCCGCACCCCCCAAAGTAGGCTGCTCATCCCATTGTCACCATTCTCAATGGACACCCCAGTCCAGATGTAGGGAAGAAGCTGCCGTTATCACTGGTAGGAGAATTTCAACCCCAAAGAGACGATATCAGAGAAATAGAAAAATGGGAGCGGGTTTTTGGGCAAACCAAATCTTGGTACTCTTAAGCAGAGCCATCCTCTTTACCTTACCGTCCGAGGGTAGTGCTCGAAGGGCCCTACAATGAAGCAAACCCCTGTTCAGAGGAGCTTCCCTATCTCTGGCTCGGTGGAAACGAGATTTGGGAGCTTGCCACAAACAAGATTTGGGCCCCTCTCCCTCGTGCCCCTTTGCTTTTTCCCTCTAGGGCTGATGTCAGCCCTTCCGTCTAACCCCCCGAAGCTTCCTCGTTGTTTCACCTATCCCGTCGGTTGTCGAACCCATCCCCACTCCAAATCACTCCTCCAGCCCCCTCTGGCCATGCAGTGCTCGCCTCTCAAGTACCCCTTGCGGCGGATTCCCCCTTCAGATTTCAAAACTCCCTCCTAGTGAGTGGCATCTGGCCCCATCATCCTCCATCACAATAGCTGGCCTTAGCCTCCCCCATCTCGCTCCTTGAGATTGGAGCCTTGGACATCAATGCCTCAGCTCATTGCTTCTCCCTCCACAGGATCCCTCAGCCATCAACCGCTAGAGCACTGACTTCCCTCACTCTCCTCCCTTCCCCACCATCTGATGGGCCAAATTCTCCATTGCTCCCCCCCCCCCCCTCACCCTTTCTTCTGCTCCAATCTCTGTTAATTCACATTTGGTTGGCCACTTCTAACCCCCATCGTTGGCCGACCCCCGTTTCCCTCCCCATTCATCCCTCCCTAGTCCTCCCTCCTCAAAGCCCCCTGCCCCCTGCTTTTTACTGTTCCCACACCCCTATCACCTTCAGCTCCACCCCCCTCCCCCATCTTCTTCCACATCAACCTTTCCTCCCCTCTCCCTCCTTCGGCTTCCTCCTTGTTGCCCCCCTACCCTACATTCCATGCCCATTCCACGGTCCCTCGGCCCTTTTCCCTCTGTCGATCTTACCCCTGCTGCCCATGTCTTTACCTCTTCTCCCCTTCTCCTTCACCCTCCTATACTCTCAAACCCGCAACTCTCAACCTTCCCCTTTGTCCTTCGCCATCCCATGCCCATTTGGCGACCCAGCTGGCTCCTTCTTCCCTTCCCCACTCTCTTCTCCTGGCTCCTTCTTCCCTTCCCCACTCTCTTCTCCTGGCTCCTTCTTCCCTTCCCCACTCTCTTCTCCTGGCTCCTTCTTCCCTTCCCCACTCTCTTCGCCTGGCTCCTTCCACATTCTCGTTCCCTCCTTTCCCTTATTCCCTCAACCTTACCCATCCCAGCTTGCTCCCGTACCCTGGTAGATCCCCTATCCAGGACCCTTCACCTTCATTCACTCCTCCCTTACCATGGTACCCTCCCCCCGCCGTCTCTGTTCTCTCACCCCTCTGCCCTTTCTAACCCAACGTCTTCAACCCTTCTCCCCTAGCAGACACTCCCATCCAGGCATCCCAGCCTCCTCTTCCATCAGCCGCCTCCCAACCACTCCCTCGCTCACCTCACTTCCCTGCCCTCGCTTCATCTACCTCTTCAATCTCCCCCCATCGCCCCCCCCCCCCGGTTGGACAGCATTCATATTCCCAGTGGAGACATCAACCCTTCCCCCCTTTATGCTACAATACCCCACACTCTCCAGTTAACAATACCTCAGCAGAGCCGCTCTCGGTGGTTTCAAACTTCGTTCTAGGGATGGATGACGTCTAAGGGGACATCCACCAAGTTCTCAAAAGTCATGGGCTTTCAGTACGATGGATTGAAGGACATCAAGGCCTTCCTCAGCTGAAAGGCTCAAACTAGGTTTAAAGTACATGCCAAAGGCAAATGGGAGTTAGCTAATCTCGCCTTTGTAGTCTGCTATGATCAGGCAGACCATCTTCCGCCCCTCCTGTTGGCATAGCTCCCTCTGCTAACGAGATCCTCAAGTGCTCCCCTTGACGTGCCAACCCTACTACTCCCTCCCCATGAAAATCCTCACTTGACATATTCAGGGTCTAGGAGACCTCAATAAGCGGAATGCAGTTCGAGCTTTCTTCCTAAAACACCGACTCTATGTTTCTAGCCATAGTTGAAATGAAACAATCTATGTCCTCCCTCTGCCAGATTCATCAAGTCTGGCCCTGGAGTGGAGGCCCACCGGGTTTCTAGTGGCATCTGGGTAGTCTGGAATCCGTCCCTCCATGCCCTCTCCTCTCATATAGCCACCTTTTCAGTCTCTATCACTCTATCCAAAACCTCAAATGGTCTTGCCTAGAAATTTACCGCAGTTTATGGTCCAAAGTTCACCAGCCTCGGGAACCATATTTTATGGAATTAGATACGCTAGCGTCCATGGGTCCCCTTCTTCATGGTGCATTGGAGGCAGGTTCAATGTCACCAAATGGTCTTTCAAGTGTAACTCTTCTCCTAGAGTCACCCAAAGCATGCTTGATTTTTCCGACTTCATCACGAGAAACAATCTAATTGACATTCCCCTTCAGGGAGCTGACTTCACTTGGTCCAACTATTCCTCAATCTCTCCCTCTCCAAACTAGACCGTTATCTCACTAGCGTCAAACAGGATGTCATGTTTCCTGCATCCCATGTCTAGGCTCTACCCAAACCCACCTCTGACCACTAGCTGATTCTCCTGGACATTCGATTTGTCAACAGGGCCCAAATCCTTTAAGTTCTAACTGGCCTGGCTCGAAGAGCCAAACTTCCTCTCCTCAATTCCTTCCTTGAGGGAATCCTACTCAAATCAGCTCCAAGGTTAGGCCAGATTTTGTCCCAATTTAAACTGCAACTTCTCAAGATCTCCTTGAAGAACTGGAACCCCCATCGCCCGGGCAACTTTCAAGCCCAGAAAGAATCGGGATTGGGACCTCCTTGAAGAAAGTAGATCCTTTACCCCTGATGAAAGACACCTTAGATCTCAATCCAAGGTACTACCAACTCCTCCTTAGAAAGAAAAAGATCTTCTGGTTCCAACGTTCCGGGGTCAAATGGATCAAATTCAGCAACCACAATACTTCCTTCTTCCACAAGATCACAAACTGCAGAAGGCGTGACAACACCATCTCCCAAAATAAAGTCAGTGCCCAAGTTCTTGACCATCCTCCCCTCGGTCAGGAGTGGACTCCTAGCCCTAACGGCTTTCCAGTCGCCGTCTTCAAAACCTTATGGACTGCCGTTTGCCCTGACCTGCTCTCTTTCTTTAAAAAATTCCATAGTAAAGGCGTCATCTACAGGGCCATGAATGCCACCTTCATCGACTCGGTCCCCAAAATAGAAGGGGCCGAAGAACTCAAAGACTTCAGACCCGTTACTCTAATCAACAATTTCTATAAGATCCTCTCTAAGGTCCCCACATCTTGCCAAAGAGAGGTCCCCAATTGGATCATCTCTTTGAACCAAGGGGCTTTCGTCAAGGACTGGCAGATCCTCGACAGAGTTTTAGTCGCCCATGAATGCATTCATTCTAGACATTTGTCTAAGATCCTAGGTGTGGCTATCAAACTGGACCGGGAAAAGACCTACAACCATGTCAACTGGTCCATCCTAGACAAAACTCTCCGTATAATGGGATTCAGAGATCAATGGAGGGCCTGGATTCGTGGATGCATCTTGAATCCCTTCTTCTTGGTCCTCATCAATGGCTCCCCCTTAGTCTACTTCCCATCCTCAAGATGTCTAAGACAAGGAGGCCCTCTCTCCCATTTCCTGTTTGCAGTAGTTGCCAAAGTCTTTAGCAGATCCATTTTCAGGGTCAATTCCTTTCATCGGTAGGTAGAATCATGCTCATCAAGATGATCATCTCGAACATCCCCATTTTCAGATGTCACTATTTCATATGCCATACTGGGTCATGGCTCGTCTTGAGCATCGAATGAGAAACTTCCTCTGACTGAGAAAGGAGGGTAGTAAAAAGTTCCACCTAGTCCGGGTCAAAGTCTGCCAGCCTAGACACCTTGGTGGTCTAGAAATCCACAGCCTCAAAAGGAACAATCTTGCTCTCCCTGGTAAGTGGTAGTGGCGCTTACTGACCCAAGAGAACCAACTGTGGCTAGAGATCCTTTGCCGCAAGTACCTTTGCGATACTTCTAGATCTCTGCCTTGCTGTAGGGCCAACAGTAGATCCTCAGGAGCATGGAGATCTCTACTCTACAGTTACAACCTCTTCAAAGCTAACATCTGCTTCTGCCCTCGGCAAGGTAACAGGGTCACATTTTAGTCCGACCTTTGGATAGGCAACACTACTTTGAAGGACCATTCCCCAACCTTTTCCCCCTTGCTCGCAACAACGTCGCCATTGCTGCTGAACAATAGGGGGTGGCAACGGGCGAACCTTGACCCTGGCCCAACCCTTGTCCCATAGGGCCAACCTAGGCCCAGACCTGGCCCTATTAACAGAAAAAACCATAAGGCCAGGCAGGACTGAACTGGGCCGGCTCTGGCCCTCAGGCCACCGTTTGTGGCCCAGGCCCTACTCTTTTAGGGCCGGGCTGCTCGGCCCATTGCCACCCCTACCTAACACTTTTGACTCCCTGGTCATATTGATCCCACACCTCACCCTCTTTTGTGGTCGAAGTCGGGCATCCTACTTTGAAAGGCCTCTGTGGCAACCACGTTATACTGCCTGTTGTGAGAAGGCAAACACCGATGCCTTGAAAGAACAAGTTAGAGCAAAGGTTATCTTCTGGGCTAGAAATCAATTACTACTTCGGGCCCTTCTCCAACTCAGACTTACGCCAGGATTGGCAAACCATGTTGTTCTTAAGGCCCACCCACATTCCTCGTGCCTCGCTTTGGAGACCACCTGAATCCAGCCGATCCAAACTCAACTTTGATGGCTGCTCCCTGGGCGAGCCAGGACCAACCGGAATAGGGGCATAATCAGAGACAAGGATGCTCACACTCTTTATTTCTTTTCCAAGTCCATAGGGCATGCAGATTCCATCACAGCGGAGGCTCTTGCACTACTCCAAGGTCCAAGAAATTTCAACCCTAGCTGGAGTCTGGTTGTGGTTATTGAGGGGGACTCCAAAATATGTTACCACTGGGGGGCCTTTGGATCCTTACCTTACCCTTGGAGACTAGCACACATTTGCAGGCCTATGCTCATCTCACGAAGACATACCAAGTGCAAGGCCAACTCATCCACCGACACCCTGGCTACAGAAAGAGCAACTCGACCAGATGCATAGGGAACCTCATTGGCACCTTTTTGAGCATCGGTTCCCACCATTTTGATATACCCGTCCCATAATTTTTTGGATGTATAGAATTTTTTGAGCTAAAAGTGGTCCTTGCATTAAGCTCCCAGCCTATGGGTCGTCAATTTTTTGTACCTAGAACTATGTATGCTCTTTTCCTCTTATTACAAATGTCTAGTAGTTTGAAAAAATATAAAAAACCCACTATGATGGCATCAAATGTCCAAAGGGAACAAACTGTGAAAAGAAATTCGAAAATACACCTCTTCCTCCCTTTTAGCTTTTGCAGCACGATCAGCCTCCTGCTCTGCAGCTTTTAGTTCAGATATATACTCAAGAAATAAAACCTCCCGGTCTTCATGCTTAACTGATTTGTATCTTGGATCATTCCGTAGGCTGTCCTTCACCTAGAAGTGAAGCAAGAGTAATTTGAGTACTTTGGATAAAAAAAATAGAAGCAAAATATCAATAGATGCAGGCATAAGAGATATTGCACTTGGATATTTGCATATACATGAGCAAACAACAAGAGCACATAAGTTGACCAACCAATTGCATGTAGGCTGATTTTCAAGTGATGCAAGGTTAGCATGCAGTGTGTGTTGGCTGGCAGCGGCAAACGTTTTTACACCAAAGGACGTCTTCTTTAGATCAAACTTTCATAACATAAAGTCGGTTCGGAATTAACCACTCTATTGAGTATGTGTGTCAACTCCTCTAGCCTTAGGTGTTGTTTTCCGTGTTATGGTAAGTCTAAAAAATAAAAATAAAAAAACAAATAGCAAACTTTTGCTGTTGAATCAAACATTCTTTTTTACACATGAAATTTGTAGAGGAACAAATATTTTTCTATGGATTTGGTGTTTGAAATGTCTTTAGAGAAAGAGCAAACTAGTTCTTGTAGGATGACATTTAGCTAGCATCTCTTTTATAATTGGCGCCCCATGTCACTAAGAAAAATAAAGAGGCATGCATCAAGTTGCACGTGAAAATGCATAAAAACAACATATAACCACAAGTCAATAGCTCCCACAAAAATCCCAGAAATGCTCTAGGAAATCTCCCCTAAATTTCCATGAGAAACATGATTGAGAACCAAAATACATCGCAAAATTCTGGAAGGGTTTTTCATCTTCATGCACCAAGCGATTTTTGCAATAACCTACTTGATATGAAGGTTTCTCCCCAGACCATAGAACGCCCTAGAACTGCTAGAAAATTCTTTTGGTAATTAACGGAGCTGCAATTTGCAATAGTTTTTTTGAGTTCCAGAAAGTCCCCAAGTCCAATGATATCAAAACCTGCTCTAACTTCCTACAACTTGGTTAGACTCCAGGACTAAAGCTTCTAGAATCAGTTGAGATAAATGCCAAGCTTGACAGTTCCCAAAATATGAAATGTTCTAGACTTGGAAACTTGGTGACTGAGGCCACTCAAGCAAACTCTTCGAGCTCTATACAGAACTATAAAACAAAATGATAAGAAGCACCATAGAAGATATCGGGGATAAGCCACATTTCATAGGATATAGTTAGAACCAACTGCATAAGGAAGCTTGCATTCCAACATGAAACTTTTCATCCAAATATTGAACATGACAGTTTTAAATATATTAAAAGCACAATAGAGCAATGCACGACACAGGAATTCAGAAATCTGTACAAGAATAGGCTAACAGAAGTAGGCATCATTCAACAGTAAACGGAAGGCTTAATACAAAAGCTGATAAAAATACGCCACCATCTTCAATATAAAGCTGATAAAAATACGACACCATCTTAAATAGGTTAGGACTTTTGGCATGTGGTAGTTCCAGCCAAAGGGACTATTCATGCACTTACCTTGGACCACCGGCTACCAATATTAATATCTACTTTCTCGTGGAGCATGGACTTAAAGCTAGCAACAGCAGCAGCACGTATAGCTTGTGTTTTTTCTTCAACAGCTTTCCTCAAAGGGAGAACCCTGCAAGCAAATCCAGAAATATTATCCTTCTCTGGATCATGATACAACCAAGATAGCTTTGAATGTTTAGCATCACACAATATTTTGCAAACAGTTGTACCGTTCGTTCAACAACATTTCTCTCTCCTTACGATCCAAGGCAACAAATCGTGGATCATAGCCCCATTTCTTCTTGAAAGTTTCATAGTCAGTCTTGTGATTAATATCCTGCCAGGTGCAAACTAGCAATCAATATGAGCTCAAGTATATCAAACATTTAAAACTCTGGATTCCCAATGCATAATTCCATAGAGAACAATTGAAAGTCAAGAAGTTGGGGAGAGAATACAAGTTCACAGTAAAACCTCTGAAGCACCCTCTAGCAATTGTTTGAATCCCTCAATAGCAGCTTTCTGAGCAGCACGTTTTTCTTTACGCTCTTCTTCTGCTCGAGTACGGACAAAATGTTCAAACAATGACCTACGCTCAGTGTAACCAGGGATTGCCTGCAGAACATTGGCATTTTGTTAACAATAGATAACAAAATCAAGTATGAGACATTTTCCCATACAAATTTAAGGTCATAATAAAAACTAACCGTCCAGAAGGAAACTAGAGAAAACACACAATAACCGAAGTTGATGATGAAGAAAGTTGCTCAGTGGATGATGAAGAAAGTTGCTGAGTGAATGAATTCATACAGTTACTAAGGTGAGAAATTCTCCATAAATGATAGAGCTAAATATAAGCTCGAAAAACTCCTTGAATAATGCAAAACTTGCTCTAAAGACATGGAGAGCACACATATTGATGCCAAAAAAATATAATGGTTATGTTAATAAATCCAATCCATGTACACCATATCCTAGGCCTTAATGGAGCGAAGAATAAAAGAATACTAGGGAAATTTTGTTTCATGATATATAAAAAAACATCCCAATTATACTGATAAGGTGCTACAAGAGAAATTTTGCAAAGGAAAGATAGAGGCAACCTAAGCCTAAAGGCACTTATTCACTCCACTTAATATCATACCTTTACAAAAGAATCTAACTCCTCAGAAAGAGAAATCAAAATGACTGGATTCCAGGTGACAAAGTGTCAGGAAGATCTAATTTTAAGTTCTTCATAGTGGGGATTCGTGGTCTTTCTCACAAGAGAATACCATGTTGTGGAAATATTCAATTTTGTCACTATTAAAAGAGGCTATGACAGAGAATAAAGAAAAATGACAAAAGAAAGAAAAATTGAAAAAGAAAAACGAGGAACTCTCGGATGGGTTTTCCGTCGTCCTGTTTCAGGAAAGAGTTAGTTGAGTGGAGGTCAATTCCATTATGCTTGAAAGTACAGAGAAGCAATTGGAAGATGGGGAAACTCAAACCCTCTAAGGAATGTAAACTTGCAAAAGCTAAAAAGCAAGAAGGCGCCCCACTTTACTTTTTTTTCCCTTTTCTTTTTATTTCTTGAGAATGCCTTTTTTTTATTTTTATCATGCTAGCGTATGCGTAAGATTCAAGCCTGCAATCCACGTATGTATTGCAAAAGCAGATCACCACCAAACTACCAACATGGCTCATTTGGTATAATCTTGTCTAAAGAAAAACGGATCCCCGGACCAGTTCAGCCAATTCAAATCAAACTGAGTCTTACATGTTCAACGCATTTTTATTATTTTTATTTTTTTATCTTTTGACATCAAGAGGTGACCAGAACAGAACATGAGCTGTCTTCGATCAAATCTAACCAAAATGGCCAGCCCATTCTGGTCTCCAAAATATTGACTGACAGTGAAGTCTGCTGGACACACACATTATCTTCAAGGAGGACCAACCCTACTAGCATTATCTTAAACTTGAGAGATTCCAGAGATTCATCAGGACAGCAAATGAATGAGAGAAGCCTATACATAGATGTTCAGAAAGATTAAAGACTGCAAAGGAGATTCAATTAATGGCATCCATAGGAGGAGGTTCAGTACGAACTTTTAGAAGATCATCAAGGCCCCCCACGTTACTACGATGAAGGTAAAGGGGAAGGCCACTATTCCGGGGGACAATTTTTTTTTTTTGCTCTTTAACACACTCCAAAGAAACATTCAAACGGTGCAACTGCTAAAGGTCAAGTTCTTTTTGTATGAGAAAATTGTAAAACAAAAGCAAACAGAGCTAGAGTTAATATTGAAAGGATTAGATCAATTTCCACCAACAACGGCCACAAAGTAAATAATATGATTTAAATCTCAGCTTAAGAGATGGATTTACAGCATTTTAACAAATTGAGACACTTTTCATTTCAAAGAGACCATAAGATACACAAACCATATAAACATACAAATGTTCCAGAGAAGAAAAGTTGCAATTACAAAAATGAATGTGCAACCAAAGGTACCTCTGAAATATGTGTTTCTTTTATGCATAAATGGAAAACACTATAGTTTGTATATGCAGTTCGGAAAACGCAAAAACCATAGCTACCATCCATAATCAAAACTAATTATATGACACAATGAAGTTGTTACTACATTGCACAGACCAGAGAAAATCATCGATAATAACCAGTTTTATGGATCTATATGGTGGGGGACAACATGAGAATGAGCTGCAATAATCACTAATATCACAAATAGATCTAAAACACAATCCAAACAAACCTGCTTCAAGAAGTTCAAAAGACCCAGAATTCCCATACAAAGAAAATTAGAATCTATATATGCAGCTAACCTTAAAGCGGGGATCAAACAATATCTTTGGCAATTCCTTTTCCCACTTCGAGAATGGTGCGATTCCTTTTTCTTTGAGCATCTCCTAGAGTATTGATAAAAATCACAAGCATAAGTACCAGAAATTTTCAAACTTGAGGCATATACAAATGCCAAAGCAAAGACAGGAAGTAAAAAAATTGAAACATAAGACAAACTTTTAATTTCTTAATTATCTCACTATTTCTAAAATTAGTGTGAAGGGAGGGTGCATAGCCATTCAAGGCAAAGATAGCAAATATGGCACCATTATCCTAGTCCCTGATCTACAGCCCTCCCAAATCCCATCTTTTCAACAGAAAGGAGAATTTACTAATAAACTACATTTTCCAGCATTAGGGCGTTAAGCAAAGGTGGGTCAGGGTGGCAGGTGCCACAACTTGATGTCTAGAGTTTCATTCCCACGAGGTCCCAAGTTAACATTCCTAAAAACAAACGAATAAGCAATAAATGCTTAATATTAAGTAGACAACCAATATATTCCAGCATGGCTAGAGTAAAAGGAAAAAGCCAATGTACCTTGAACTGGATAACACACTCTTCCTTTGTTGGTCCACTGTCCACATCTTCTGAATCTGATGACGAATCTGAGACATGTCCTACCTCTTGAGCAACTTTTAACTTGTCTTTGCTGTTCTCACTCTGCTGACCTTTCACTGTGGTATCAACCACTCTTTGACCATTTGCATCTGATGTAGTAGGGACTGGTGTAGAAGATGGAAGAGCTGATGAGGTGACAGGCATGCCTGAATCCTGCAGCTTCTTTTTTATTAAATCCAGAGCAGAAGAAGAAACAGGTGCAGTTGCAGATTTAAATGTCATGGCTTCGCGACCACCTGTATTAATTGCAGGAGCACTCAAGCTGGAAGAAACAGAACCCTTATCTGATGATATACCGGCATTTTGTACAGGAGCATTTGCTTTTAAAGCAGCATCAGCCTCCTGCTTCTTTCGCAGCTCAGCAACTTCTGGAGGAACTTGCCAGCTACTAATCTGAATCACAGCAACATGACCACCACATAATGGGTATGGACTGAAGTGATGCTGGATAGTCTGATGAAGCCATAAATATAGACAAAAAAGAGACAGAAAGTCCTAACATTTGAATCTTAATGTAAGTTGCACGACAAAAACTTGGATAGCTTGTAATTAGAAGGGTTTTAGAATACAACTTATAGGTCTACAACACAGGCATTGCTAGAATAGTGTCGATGGCGATAACACAAATCGTAGCTGGAAATTGTCCACAACTAAAGAACATAAAGGAGATGGTTCTCAGTAGCAACTTATTTTATGGACTTGTCTAATAGCCATGACTTTCCAGTAAACAATATATGATGATATTCAATACCGATAACCACCCTTCAGCACCTGACACTCATGGAATACTTGGATGCTTTGCCTAATACAGTTCTCCCAATGCAATGTCATTTCATATCCTTTGAGTTGCACCATGGGAAACTGTCATCCTAAGTATGTGTCATCCACATAATTTCATATCTTCTCCAAATGCAGACCTATTAATGTGCCTGTGTCTATAATTCAACATCTCCAGAATAAGAAAAACAATGGATAGAACAACAACAAAACAAATTTGAGGAAACACAGAAGTATCGAAGCCCTAAAATGGCAATCACATCAATCATCATCATCATCATCATCATCATCCAAGCCCTATCACAACTATTTGGAATCGGCAATCACACTAACATGAAACAAAAATATCACATATCCACATGTATACATGCATATTGGTGCCATACAAATGCACATATTTAGGTTTATGTACGCATGCATTCATGAATTTATGTGTGCCGGAGATAGAATTTGTGTGCATGAGATACAAGCAAATGCACATGTTTGCAAACATGCACATATAACTAGTGGAGGGTAGAGACAATGCACTCTGTACGGTTGCTTGCATGTACATACACAATATTCAAGCATCTACATATAGATGATGTAACATACCAAAATGATTAGAAAACAATGTACCTTGCTCTTAGTGTTATAGTAGTACTTTTTGCCATCATTTGTTGCAACTAGTGCCCAATCTGTACCCACCAACTTCTCCCTGACCAACCAAGACAAACTAATGTAAATTACATATAATAAAGACCTAAAACGTTAGTAAAGTAAGATGCATGTGATAACAAGATAAAAAGTGCTCAAGCATAATGTAACAAAATAAGCTAGATCATTAATCTGCTCTCTTCGATGTACAGAAAAAATTAAAACACAAATTATACCAAGCCCTTATTGGAGCATGTTTCAGCAACATTTGCAAGTCAAGGAGTTAATCAAATGTATCACAATTAACGAACAAGCAAGCATGCATCTGGACACTTTTACAAGTCAACGAGAAAATCAATGAAAATGAATGGAAAGGAAGAATCCCATCATTTCTGAAAAATCTTCTTAAATCATGCTGGGAGAATACAAAGAGTGATCAATGAGAAAAAAAAATTACGCAATCATCCACAAATACAGTTTAGTGAAGGAGTAAAAAGTTTCTATAGGATCAATTTTTAAAAATGAACCATACATACCCAAGGGAATACCGGAAACTAAGAAGAAAGAAGCTCTATTCAATACCAAGAATACATACCAAGCACAAAGAAGCTCGACTCACTACCAATTACACATACCATGAAACTGGAGTACGCTGAAGGATCACTTTGTCTGGCTGCAAAAGAAAGAAAACCAAGACCTGTTACCAAACAACATTTTAACATTAGAATTACTACCAGGTTAGTCATCTTCGAAGCAAGATTTCAACCTACCTCCCCTTTAAAACCAGGAGGCTTCTCATAAGTGGACTCCCCGGTAAGCGCATTGTAGTAGTACACAGCGCCAGTGTCTGTCTTGTGTGCTGTCCATTGGTCTGTATCTTCATTACTAACAGCGTTATCATCCTTGTTTGTATAGTCAATTGTGTCTTTCTCCTTATCTGGTTGGCAAAACTCCAATCAC